TCCATATCCAGTTCTAACTGTAGCTTCTTGTCCCACATAGAGATTTCTCAGGAGACAGATGAGGTGATCAGGCACTCCCATTTCTTTAAGAACTTGCCAAAGTTTGCTGTGGTCGACACAGTCAAAGGCTTTTGCATAGTCAATGAAGCAGAAGTAGATGTCTTTCTGGAACTCTCTAGCTTTCTCCATAATCCAGCGCATGTTTGCAATTTGGTCTCTGGTTCCTCTGCCTCTTCTAAATCCAGCTTGCACTTCTGGGAGTTCTCGGTCCACATACTGCTTGAGCCTTCCTTGTAGAATTTTAAGCATAACCTTGCTAGCATGTGAAATGAGTGAAATTGTGCGGTAGTTGGAGCATTCTTTGGCACTGCCTTTCTTTGGGATTGGGATGTAGACTGATCTTCTCCAATCCTCTGGCCACTGCTGAGTTTTCCAAACTTGCTGGCATATTGAGTGTAGCACCTTAACAGCATCATCTTTTAAAATTTTAAACAGTTCAGCTGGAATACCATCACTTCCACTGGCCTTGTTATTAGCAGTGCTTTCTAAGGCCCATTTGACTTCACTCTCCAGGATGTCTGGCTCAAGGTCAGCAACCACACTACCTGGGGTGTACGAGACATCCATATCTTTCTGGTATAATTCTTCTGTGTATTCTTGCCACCTCTTCTTGATGTCTTCTGCTTCAGTTAGGTCTTTACCACTTTTGTCCTTTATTATGGTAATCTTTGTACGAAATGTTCCTTTCATATTTCCGATTTTCTTGAACAGATCTCTGGTTCTTCCCATTCTGTTGTTTTCCTCTATTTCTTTGCATTGCTTGTTTAAGAAGGCCTTCTTGTCTCTTCTTGCTATTCTTTGGAAATCTGCATTCAATTTCCTGTATCTTTCACTATCTCCCTCGCATTTTGCTTGCCTTCTCTCCCCCGCTATTTGTAAGGCCTCGTTGGACAGCCACTTTGCTTTCTTGCATTTCTTTTTCATTGGGATGGTTTTAGTTGCTGCCTCCTGTATAATGTTGCAAGCCTCCACCCATAGTTCTTCAGGCACTCTGTCCAGCAAATCTAAATCCTTAAACCTGTTCCTCACTTCCACTGTGTATTCATAAGGGATTTGGTTTAGATTGTATCTTACCTGTCCAGTGGTTTTTCCTACTTTCTTCAGTTTAAGCTTGAATTTTGCTATAAGAAGCTGATGATCTGAGCCACAGTCAGCTCCAGGTCTTGTTTTTGCTGACTGTATAGAGCTTCTCCATCTTTGGCTGCAGAGAATATCTTTGTCCATGGAGTTTTCTTGGCAGGGATACTGGAGTGGCTTGCCGGTTCCTACTCCAGGTGGATCACGTTTGGTCAAAACTCTCCACTATGACCTGTTCATCTTGGGTGCCCTGCTCGGCATAGTTCATAGCTTCTCTGAGTTCTTCAAGCCCCTTCGCCACGGCAAGGCAGTGATCCATGAAGGGGGTGTTTAAGATAGATAAGAAAAAAGGATTCGCAACAGAAGAATCAAAACTGGCTAAGAATCTAATATAAAGTAAGACAAAAGTAATATCCAAAATGTGTAAACTCCTATTAGAATGAGAAGTTAAAGATGAGGAGGTCAAGGAAGTTATGACTAAATGGGGAATTGATTTTGGGGGGAAACGGTCAAATGTCGGCATGGTAAAGATCAAGGAATAGAGAATGGAAATTTACAGCCTGTTATACACCTGTGGGTTAAACTACAGAGCCTAGGGTTTGCCGATCAGAAGGTCAGCAGTTCAAATCCCCACGACGGAGTGAGCTCCCATTGCTCAGTCCCTGCTTCTGCCAGCCTAGCAGTTCAAAAGCACGTCAAAGTGCAAGTAGATAAATAGGTACCGCTCTGGCGGGAAGGTGAACAGCGTTTCTGTGCACTCCTCTGGTTCGCCAAAAGCGGCTTAGTCATGCTGGCCACATGACCCGGAAGCTGTACGCCGGCTCCCTTGGCCAATAAAGCAAGATGAGCGCTGCAACCCCAGAGTCGGCCATGACTGGACCTAATGGTCAGGGGTCCCTTTACCTTTACCTATACATTAAGGGAAAATTACATGAAAATGTTCTATAGGTGTCTATAACCACCTGCAAATTGGCAAGGATGTATAGAATGAGTTCCAAGACATGCTGGCGGTGTAAGCAGGCTGAAGGGACAATGATTCACATGTGGTGGGGTTGTAAGAAAGAAAGAAAAAAGATATGATTTACAATGAAATTTTAAAAATGTTCAAACAAACTTTTATGAAAGAGTCAGAAGTCTTCCTCCTGTTAATACTGGGTCCAGAAATTTCTAAGGAAAAAAGAAGAATATTCTTATATGCTACAGCAGCAGCCACAATACTGGTCGCCAGAAGATGGAAGGGAGAATCGATACCATCGAAAGAGGAATGGCAGGAGAAATTGTTTGAATACTTAGAACTAGCAAAACTGACAGAGACAATTAGGAGACAGCCAATGCAAAGCTACAAAAAGAATGGGGAATTTATAAGGAATATTTAATTAATCATTGTCCACAACCAAAAACCTGGACTTGCTTTGATTAAACCTCGCAAAATATAAGCTAAAAAAAGAATACAGGTTTAGATAATAAAGAAAATGAGATAATGAGTTTTGAAGCTAAAAGAAAAGAAAAAAAGACAGACCATCAAAGAGGACGACAGCAGTCTAAGGGAGAAAATGAAGGAATTGTGAATTAAGAAGAAACATAAGTAATATAACTTTCTTATAGGAATTTAATGATTTTTGTAGTTTTATGTTTATTTTGGTTTCTGATTTGGGTTTAGTATGTATGATTTTTATTGTGCAAGAAAATCAATAAAAAAGTATAAACGGTAAATAGCATTAAATTTTACTGCAACACATAAACATTTAAGAGTTATTCTCTTATCTCTTATGATTCATAGATCAGAAAAACTTAGAGGTATTAGTTTCAGTTGGTCTACTCTGCAAGTAATTTTTACCCAATATTGTTTAAATAGTACAGCTGGGAATACAATCCAGAATCTATGATATTCCTGCCTCACAGCATCTGTGACTGTCAGATTGAATGATGATGATTGTGAATGTGGGGATCAAGCTTTGCTGCAAAGTAAAACCATCCATCCTTGGTGTGAAAGGAAACACAGAGGGAGGATGAGGATCAAGCATGAGATCAGGTGAGAAACAAGAGATCAGGTGAGGAGAAAGCAGAAGAGGCAGAAGACAGAAACCTCCAAATGAGGAATAAAGCAACACAGAAGAAGATGGCAAGATCACAATATAAAGAGAAGGAAGTATATTTTTAATGCCCATGCATGGAAAGAAGTCAAATGTTTTCTGAGCATGCCATGGAATGTATGGTGTAGTTGTAGCCTATAGCGGTATATAGAAATATATGAAGGATATATTTCCTTACAGAAGTTCATCTGTAAACGTTGTGTTTGGATGGTCCTTGAAATCTATTTCTACAGATAAATAGCCAAAAGTATTAACAATTCCTCCAATGATCAGATCACCTCTCTGATAATTCTGGTATGGAAGCTGGAAAGGATCCGTCATGGTGCATCTCTCAGAGTCTTCCTTGCACTCAGTTGGAGGCATCTGGAGCCACAGGAAGAGAAGGATCAGCAGCAGAAATGCTCCTCTCATCTTGACCAACAGTTATGCAGAAAGCCAGATTTCTCTCTCATCCGTTATGAATTGCATTACCAAAACATTCATTTAATAGCCCTGGATTACTTTGATTAAGGGAAAGTGCTAAAGATCTAACCCATGAAATCCTTTGTGTTCAGAATTTATCACTGGGGCTCTGAATATCACAGGGTATATTTAATATACACTTTTACACTCTGATAGTGACTGTGTTCATGGCCTGACAAAATGTACACAGGATTTGGCAAGATGAGTGATGAAACCCAGCAGTTTGAGATAATTACTGGTTCCCCAGTTATCTCCTTTGAGCATTGTGCTCTGTGAGACAAAATAATAAGAGCAGAATAATCATACATATTTATTATTGAGTAGTGCACTGGGAATGGCGAGTCACAGGAAAGCAAGCAGCCCACCTGCAAACTGGTAATCTGAAGGGAACTCTCTCATTTTTCCAAATCTCTTCCTCAATCCCACATGCCCCATTTTCCTCAAGTGTACATGTGTCACCAATGGAGACGAGATTTTTAGAATTTTGGACCTCCAGGGTGTAACAATAAGAGCAGCAGCAACAACAACTGGTGTATTCTTGTATACTAGTTAAGGGGGGGAGGAAACAGTTAAAATAATGCAGACTTCAGTTGCAGGTGCAATGCAGGATGTTACATTTCCTTACGAAATAGAGAAATGGTTAATATTTGCACACAAAAGCTTATACCCAGAACAAACTTAGTTGGTCTCTATGGTGCCACTGGACAATTTTTTCAATATTTTGCTGTATTTCTTTTTTATCTTTCTCTTTCATATTTTTATTATCAGTTTATTTTTATTTTTATTCAGCTTGAACCCTGCCACCTGTCTAAATTCTTGTATCTTGTCTAAGACTTTGGGAAGAGAGTTTTTTGGATCTTCTATTGTAATTACCAGATCGTCCGCATAGGCCTTTAATTGATATGCTTTATTTCCTACCATTATTCCTCTAATGGTTTCATCCGCCCTTATATTGTTCGCCAGGACCTCCAGGACCAAAATAAATAATAGTGGAGACAGTGGACAACCTTGCCTTGCCCCTTTTTGTATTTTACAATTCTCTGTTATGACATTGTTTATGATTAATCTTGCTTTTTGTTCTGAATAAATTGTTTCTATACCTTTCCTAATTTTTTCTCCAAAATTCATCACTTCCAGGACCTTTTTCATAAATTCCCATGAAACATTATCAAACGCTTTTTCGGCATCAATAAACATCAGCACCACTTGCTTTTCATTTCTGACCTCCAGGTATTCAATCATGTCTATGACATTTCTGATATTTATTTTTTAAAAAATTAAAAGTGTCCAGTAGCACCTTAGAGACCAACTAAGTTTGTTCTGGGTATAAGCTTTCGTGTGTGTATATGAAGAAGGGTGCATACACACAAAAGCTTATACCCAGAGCAAACTTAGTTGGTCTCTAAGGTGCTACTGGACAATTTTTTATTATTTTTTTTATATTTTGACAGCTTCAGACCAATGTCTCTATTTTATTGCCCAGACCTGCAATTTGGGCTGCCAGCATGTCAGAGTTTTGTTTCATTGCTGCATCATAAAGGTAAAGGTAAAGGGACCCCTGACCATTAGGTCCAGTCGTGACCGACTCTGGGATTGTGACGCTCGTCTCGCTTTACTGGCCAAGGGAGCTGGCGTACAGCTTCTGGGTCATGTGGTCAGCGAACCAGAGCAGCGCATGGAAACACTGCTTACCTTTCTGCCGGAGCGGTACCTATTTATCTACTTGCACTTTGACGTGCTTTTGAACTGCTAGGTTGGCAGGAGCAGGGACCGAGCAACGGAAGCTCACCCGCGTCCCCTGCTGCATCATATCTGTCTTCAATTCTGCAAAAAAGCATTGCCATCTCAGAAGGGGGGGGGGGTTCTCCGGCGTCTCTCGGATGTTACCCACAGATGGCCTTCTCAAGGCCAAAGCTTCCTGCTTCCGAGTAGTCATTATGTTCCCTTTGTCTAAGCTGTTGACCAATCACACGATGCCCTCTTTATTTAAGTTGATAGTTGGAACGCATGCTCTCCAGTGTAGTAACGTTAGAGCAAAAACAAAGTTAAGTGCCTTATAAGGAAATGGGGTGAGGGGAATGAAGTTTTGATTGGATATGAAATTTCAACTTAATGGAATGCATAGAATGTATACTATCTATGTATAAAATGGTATGGAATTCTTTGTCCTGCGTCCAGTTACTTTGGGAGTCATCCCTGCTGGACCTTACTGCCCAGAAATAAAATACAGAAGGACTCCTTTTCCACTCACTGTCTCATGTGGTTTTCAGTTTATCCATGAGATAGGGCAGGCTTTGCTTGCAACACAAGCTGCTAAATATCACTGCTCTGCAACATATCACTACCCTGCCCCTTCATTCTTAGATGAGGCAGTGATAAGACCACTTCTCAAGAAACCCTGCCTTGAAAACCATAAGGAATGACTGGCCAGTCACTAATCTCCCCTTTTTGGGCAAGGTTCCTGAGTGAGTGGTGATAGTGTTGGGAATCAAGCCTTTATCAGGAGAAACTGGCCACTCTCCAGGCACCCGGCTTGATCTCCTGTTGACCTCCCTGTCTGCATTCCCCAGCAGGATCCAGGCAGAGGTCGCGATAGGCGATCCTTCTCAGAGTGAGAAGAACACACCCCCTCTTTCCTGCCCCCCCAGGCAGGGGAAAGAGATAGACAGAAACGTATTTACATGCCTCTATTTCTGTCTTTGCAGTGTTACAGAAAACATGACTGCTCTCTTCAAGCTTCAGCAGTCGAGAGAGAAACAAACACTTGCTGTACTTCCTGTACAGCTCATATTACACTCTGAGCTAATTCCGGTGCTTCGCACTGTGAATAGGCTGTCTCTCTGTTTCCCACGGAACAGTCCCAACATTCCCATTATGTTTTGCTTTCAAGCTACCAGCAGCTCGCGGCTGCATTGCTTCAATATCGTAACATACTCCCCCATATGAATCAATGTGTGCTGCGAGCAAAGCGTGATCCAGAGAAGAAAACAAACAGTTGTTATACATATAACACTCCCCTGTTGTTTCAGTTCCACCCTTGGAACTACCCGCCACTGGTTTCCCCAGTGTACCTCTCTGGTTGTCTGACTTCCAAGGAATGAGTGCATCTGCATTACCTTGGCTAGGGAATGTAGTGTTACGCTTAGCAACTCTCTGTTGTGTCTTTGTCTCTGACTTAGACACACCTTTAACCTGTCTTGAGTTGTCAACAATAGTAACACATGCTACAGCTGAGTTAGCAAACTCTTTTGAATACCTCTTGGTTGGTACGCCCTTTGTAACTCTCTCAGACCTGCGTATAAGGTGCTGATCCTCTCTGCTCACTGGTTCAGTCTCAGGACTCTTTGAAGAACCAGTTCCAATAGTAAACAGTGGTTCATCCTTCACCTGTGAAGGTCTAGCCATTGTGTGAGATTTCTTCTCAATGACTGTGTCAACTGAGCTCTTTGAGCTATCACTGTCACTCTCAGTACCACTGTAATCAGTAAAATCATCATCTGAATTGTCCTCAGTGGGAAATGTGTGAACAATTACTCTCTCCTGTTCAGGAGCACTCTCTAGAAATTTTGTGAGAACCACCTGACCAGATTCAGACAAAATTACTCTGTAGAGACCCTTTTCATAACCCACAAAAATGCCTCTAGCATTCTTTACTCCACCTGGAGCTTCAGTCTTCACATGAGACCCCAAAACCTTAAAATGGGCAACAGAAGGTTTTCTGTGGAATAGCTTTTCAAAAGGAGAACTTCCTAAACCTTTTGAAACCTTTCTCACCCAACTGTAACAATAACACAATAACGATTCCGCCCAATACTCATGTGGCAAATGTGAACTCAGCAATTGTGCCTTCATGCCATTTTGCAATTCTTTGTTCACTTGCACACAGACACTTTTGTTCCATGCTCCTGCAGAAACAGCAGTCTTGTGCCTTATCCCTTTCTTATCCAGGAAATCCTGAAAATCCTGTAAAAGAAAAACTGGCTTTTCATCTGTGAAAAGACAATCAATGTTAGCATCATGAACATTCTTAACCTTGTCACAAAACTCTTTAAACCTTTCTAAGGCTTCTTGTAGTTTCTGCAATATATATACCCACACATAATGAGAGAAATAATCTACACACACAAGATAATATCTTGCATTGCCTCTAGATGGTTCTAGAGGACCAATCACATCAGCATACACTCGCTGAAAAGCTTTGGTTACTTTCGTCGTCTTCTGGACGTTTTTCGAAACACCTGCGAGAGAAATCATGTTAGAATCAGATGCATTACAATTTATGCAATCACTTTGATCAAAAGTCAACAAATACAGTCCATCTTTCTCTCTGGCAGAAAGATACAGCTCTCCATCTTTGAAGATTTTGCAGCTTTCTCTATCATAGGACAAAGTCAGTCCTTTCTTTGTGATCTGCGAAACACTCAGCAGATTGAACTTTAAATCAGGAACCAAATACACATTGTTAATAGTCAAGTTCAGACTCTCAAGATACACAGTTCCAAACCCAGTCGCTTTCAGCTCCTGTCCATTGGCCTGTTTCACAGCGAAGCTTTGCTTCTTAAACGTTGAAAACAGTTCTGGGTGCGACGTCATATGTTGCGTCGCTCCAGTGTCCAAAATAAAAGCATTTTCCACTTCTGGTGTGGCTTTTAGTGACATCAAAGCCATAACTGGTTCCACTTGGGACTTGGTACGACTTTCGCCTGACGCCTCAGGCTTTGCAGAGCTCCCCTTAGCTCCTTTCTGTTGACGTGGCTTCTTACAATTCCGCTGAAGATGCCCAGTCTGTCCACAATTGAAACAACGGACAACGTTCAAAGCAACAGCCTGTTCTTCACTAGCAATAGCAATGGGGGTGTCAGAACTCCGAGCTTCTCTCCCCCTGTCTTTGACATCTATTGCAGCAAGAACAGCCTGATAGGACAGAACCATGAAACAATTTTCTAGAGCCATTTAAGTCTGGGTTTACGTAGGTAAAGGACCCCTGGACAGTTAAGGCCACTCAAAGGGGTGTAGCGCTCATCTCGCTTTTCAGGCAGAAGGAACCGGCGTTTGTCCACAGACAGCTTTCCAGGACATGTGGCCAGCAGGACTAAACTGCTTCTGGCAGAATGGGACACCGTGACGGACGCCAGAGCGCACAGAAACACTGTTTATCTTCCCGCTGCAGTGGTACCTATTTATCTACTTGTGCTAGTATGCTTTCAAGCTGCTAGGTTGGCAAAAGCTGGGGCAGAGCAAGGGGAGCTCACCCAGTCACAGTGATTCAAACCACTGACCATCTGATCAGCAAGCCCATGAGGCTCAGTGGTTTAGACCACAGAGCCAGCCGCTCACAAAAGTCTGGGTTCAGACCCAGTTTAGGCATGGAAACTGCTCTTGTGGTCTTCCATGATAACTATGTTGGGAGTGAGATGGGGTGAATGTGTCCCAGTTAATTCTCCTTGATCTCTTCAATACTATCAACTATGGTATTCTTGGTTCAGCAGACTGAGTTGGGGGTGAGCAGCACTTCTTCCTAGCAGTTCCAAGTCCTCCTTGGATGGTCTTTATCAGAGGGTGATGCTTGTGGAGTGTCACTTGGCCCCATGGAGCCTTCCATGTGGGGCTCTGCAGAGTTCAAATCTATCCCCAATGTTGTTTAACATCTACATGCGACTGTTGAGGAGGGTTATCTAGAGTTTTGGAGCATGTGAGCAATACGCTGATCACACACAGCTCTACTTCTCCTTTTCACCTGCAAGAGCGGCATTTTGTGTGCTGGATTGTTGTCTTCATAATGGACAGGATGACAGTCATTTAATCTGAAGCTCAATGCAGATAAGAGAGAGGCACAGTTTGTGGGTGGTTCCTTAAATCTGATGGATAGGAGGTTGTCTGCTCTTGATGGAGCTGAATCCCCTCTGAAGGAGCGGGTTCACAGCTCTGTGGAACTTCTGGATCAACGGCTGGTGCTTGAGGCTCAGATGGCCTACATGGTGCAGAGAGTATTCCATCAGCTTCAGCTCATGGCCAGGTAAAGCCTCACTAATGTTGTCTTTGCTCTGGTAACCTCTAGGTTAGACTAGAAGACAAAAACCTTCCTCTTCAACCAGGCCTTAGACTGGTTGACCTCCAGTGCCCTTTAAAATGTGTTGTGGAAGGGGAGATAATTGATTTGCTGTTGTTCTTAATGTTATATAGTTTGTGGTTTTAATATTGCAACTCCATGTTGTGAACAACCCTGAGTTCTTTGGGTGTATACCTGAAGGAGCCTCCACTGTTCAGCCTGGACACTGAGCTCCAGCTCTGAGAACCTTCTGGCGGTTCCCTCATTGCATGTCCATCTGCTGTCAGCAACTCCCAGCTGGTTGCCCAGGAACATACAAAGACAAGGGAATGTTTCTTACCATTTTC